TAAATATATTTATATATAAATACACGATTACACATATTATGACTTAAGCAGAACTAAATTGTTGCTTCGACTAGAAAATTATGACTAGAAAAGACAACCCAAAATACTGTTTGAATTAAAATTTTATTTCGAAGCAACAATAACATTGTTACACAAAAATGTAAAGACTAGCACAAAAAAGCGGAATTAGCTTGTTAAAGTCAATTTTTGTATTTTTTAAAGGACTGTTACGTAATACATTTACACTATGGGTATAAAATTATTAGTTAATAATGAGACATTCATTGCACGTATTTGACTAGAAGAATTTTTTGACTAGAAAAGCATTTCTGATTATGAGAATCAAAAAAAGAATTAAAGGCAAATCAAAAATCATTTAAGTACGCAATAAGTGCAGACAGTGCTTGACTTTTTATACCTATTGCAAACTGTATCCCTGCCCGCACTGGAGTTGTTCAGTTAAATTGAATTGTGAAGATTATTTATTTTCCGCAGTAAAAATTAAAAATTTTAATTTTGTTTAGTACCTATTACTAATTTAATATATTTCCGAGATTGCTTTTTTAACTTTCACGTTTTTTCAATTTATGCTTTCATTTAACTATTAATTTTTTCATTTCTATACACCAACAAAGTGATGAAAAAAAGTATACATACTGTAATTATTTGACTACAGTAAAAGTTTCTATAGGTACGTACGTTCATTAACACTAAAGCTACATATATCACAAACTTCAATATCTACAATTTTTAACATTTTGCTAAATGATAAGTATTATTAAATCTTCTTTTTTGAGTGAAATTGTGTATGAATGACAGGAACGCTTAAAAATAACCTAACGTAGGTAAGTAGTTTTGATTTTATGACCAGAATTGTTATTATTCGTATAAATTACGAAACTTTCTTATGAAGTTTTTCCAATGACTAGATAAATTATTAAAACATGACTAGATCGTTCGACTATAATTGTAGTTTCCAATGTTGGTATAAACTATAAAATGACTAGAATGTGATGTTTTGTTTTACTATCGCCATATTTTATTATAGAGCGTGGACACATTAAAGTAGTTCTTATTTCCATCATTTTCGAACTTTATATTAGGCACTCCTTAGGTACTTGCCGAAATATTAAAAAAAATTAATTTTCCAGAAGAGATTTTTTTTACCACATACTCTGTTATCAACTAGATGGTGATAATTGAAAGGGTTTTCGGCGACTCGAACCAGAAGGGGTAAAAATGTATTTGTTTTTTCGTAATAGACTAAAAATCGAGTTCTGAGGTTACCGTAGGAAGAGATTCCAAGTGACTATTATTGGACAATGACTTTTCTTTTACTTACATATGAGTTACCAAAATAGAATTTTTTCTCCTGAGGGCGAGACCATCATTATTGTGCTTCTTTTGATCTAAGCTTTCATTTAATACCCTGATGTGGGAATCGAAAACTAAATTTTTACCCTTCCCAGTTTGATATAATTTCAGTTACCTATTACCATTTAGCCCATAACATTTACGTACGTGGTAAAGCATTGAAGCCAATTGGAAAGTGTGCCTTTTTCAAATTATTAGATTTAATTTTTGATATAATCTGATACTTGGCCCAATTGTAAGTAAGTAAAAGTAGGAATTTTTATGATTTCTCAAAGTCATCCTACCGGTTTATTAACAAAATCGTGTTTGTCAGGTTTTAATTTTCAACTAAGAACTGATGAATGAAAATAAATTCTAAGCACTTTCTTTTTGGAATTTTCTACATTTCTGTCAACTAAACAACAGTCACAATAAATCGACAACCAATATAAAAATAATTAATTACAATTGTGCAAAAGTAATGATCATTTTATAATAAAAAAGGAATTGAAACAATTTCTCTTTAGGAATGTATAATTGTTATTTATAATTTCATTAATTTACGGTATTTATCTTATTCAACGAAGATTGTCAAAAATGTTATAAAATTCTTTTGCATCCCTCTGATCAAATGCTAGATATGCATTTATTATGAATTTTCAACGTTCCTAGGGGGCAAAATAAAATTCGAAATTGAAGAGAATAAGGACTACTGTAAGATAAATACTAGACAAGAATTGTGGTCTGCTTTTCTTGTTATTTTTGCGAAAATTTTATTTCGTAAGCTTGGAAAATTGACTGTTCTTCTATGTACTAAACTTATTGGTAGGTAGTAACTAGATAAAATAAGGGAAAATATTTAGAAAAGAACAGCTAAAGTAATAATACATTTGCTGAAGTTTCATAAAAACCTTTTCAACATGCAGTTGAGATCATTACGAAAGCTTATCAAAAACTGTGCATTTAAATCTATACCCTGTTTAAACTCTTACATTATACATACATAATTAGATAAAACAAACAAATCTACTTAAAATTTTGAAAATGAATAATTAATTTACCTTCTGAATACCGAGGTTTGTTTCAATTATACAAGCTTTTGAAATTAAATTTTCCAAAACTTCTTTTAAATAGATTTATTTATTTATAAGAAACTCAATAAGAATTTAAATATAAGAAAGTAAATGACTATTAATATTGACTAGAAAAGTTAATAATGTCCAACCAAGAAGGATTAGCATACCTGTTAGAAATATTCAAAGAAGCAATTTCATTGGATGGCAGTATCGGTGGTCTCCAAAATCGAGGCGGTATCACAGGAATAGGCCGAATCGGGAACAACCGTTGTCATTCACCCTGCTGATGAACAATTTGATGTTTCTTCAAATACGCCACCCTCCGGAATCTTTTGCCGCAACTGTCACAGGAGAATTGCTCACCACTTTCCTCCAAGGTGCATTCTTCAGGTGGTTTGGCAATCTTTTCAGTTTTCGGTTTGTGCCATCGTCTGTGCGACGCCAAGTTTGCAGGACAATTGAACAATTTATCACATTCGGGACATCGGTATTCCACGTGGACAATCCTGGAACATCGATGTTGAGCGAGACCAAACGCGTCCTCGTACAATTCACGACACAATCTGCAAACGTAATCACCAATGTGATTCTCGATCTTAGCCAATTCGGCTTTAGCTTCTTCGGTAACTTCAACGACATTAAGTGCCGGATCAATGTCACCTTTCCGCACCACCAGCGTCTCACCCGGATCTAACTCCCTTATAATCGTTCCGGAAACAGGAGAGCTTGTATCTTCATCAAAATTTAGTTTTCTTGTGGCTTTCGTCCTTTTGGTTTGATGAACTGCTGTTGTAGTAGTGGTGATCTGTATCTTGGATTTTTTAGTCGGAAGATCTGGGGGAGTGTTTGGAGATACGGGAAGTTTAGATCGTTTGCTACCAGGTGAAGGAGTGCATGGTGGTGTTATGGGGGTCTGGCTCTTGAGGCTGAGATCCAATGGGGCTGCTGTTAGTTCCAATGGTTCCGTATATTTAAAATATTGGAGTTGATGCTGAAGATGGACCGATATGAGGGGCTGAAGAATCGCTGTCGTCGGGTGCATTGCACGGTGATATATTGGAAAATGTTCCATTTCATGATGACGATGATGGAATTCCATCCGAGGCATGCCACCTTCTCGACCAACACGGACCGAATGCGTTCACATGTTAATTTGTCTGTCGTTGTATGTCTTGTAATCCCCTAGTTATAACCCCCAATGGGGCCGGGTGTCTCCGCCTCGGCTTCATCGGTGGCATGCGCGAGGTGGGGCGTTCCAGACACCCTTATTGGACGCTCAACGCTTTACAATATTATTGGCATTCCCAAAATCATGTTCGTTTGCAAAGAAAAAGCTCATCTGTAACGGATTTTCCAAAGTTTTCTTTTCCTGCTACAGGGACGTATTAGGGCATCCCAATCCTTATTTCACTTGACAAAAAGATTGCAGTACCTAGAAGGTAAGTACTTAAATGTCAAACCCAAGAATATATGCAGAATGTTACAATTTTCATTTTATTCGAAATTATCATTAGTTTGAAAATCATTTTAAATGAATTCTTAATTGAAAAACATATATGTTTTCAATTAAAATTATGATTCATTATAAATTTAGCATGGCAAATGTATACTCCTCGGTAATAAGCCGCTGTTTTCGTTCCCTAATAACGGACTTTGGTTTTAGTTGTTATAACAAATCATTAGCTTAGATTCCGTTGCAGATGGTTGGTCATAGACATGTGCATGATGAGGCCCTCACACATATGCATAGCGACCCTCTTTTTGATTGTGTAACGGGGGTGATTTACCAATCGTTGTTCGAAATGGATTTTTTCAAAAGTCCGTTTTACTCGAACTAATATAAACAATATACAGAACGTCCCAAAGGAAACAAAAATATAAAACAGTTAAAACATAATTTTTTTGGGATAATTAAAAAACAAAATAAAGTTGGCAAAGTGTAGAGGTAGATAGAGGATCGTTCATAGGAGTATGTCTTAGCGTGGCGAGATATGACAAGGAGGGAGGGGGTACATCTTTTGTTATATAATATTCATTAGAGGGGTCGCTGAAAGTATGACTTAACGTGCTGAAGGGGAAAGGAGGGGTCCAAAAAGGTGAAATTTTGAGTGACTTATTTTATGGGCGACCCCTAGATTTTAAAATGTTGAACCATTGTTTGCTGAAATGCTAATGTTTGCAAAATTTAATCCTTGTTTTATGTCTGTGTGTGTTGTCAGGCACTTTTACTTATTTTATCAAAACAAAGAGCTATATTTAGAAAAGAACAGC